CGCTCAAGAATAGATTTTGTTAGAGATTATTAAAGTTTCCGATTATCGATCATTTTCATCAAGTGCAATCGACTTTATAATTTTTCGAAAAAATGTATTACTTATTTTAAAATATTGCTCAAAGTATTCTTACTTTTTCATGAAGGTTTTTTATTCCTCTTTCAGAAAATTTTAAGAAATCTGTGATTAGAATATCTTGAATTAAATCTAGATCTTTTACGATAAGAATTGGCGTCCTTTTGTCGAATATTCCAATAAAGATCTCATCTTTGAATTCATTGTACACTTCCATCGAATAATGATTTGCGCACTTTTTTCCAAGTATGACATCCTTATATGTACCGAATACTGGTATCGGCCGTGGACCGCGGACGCCACGTGAACTCCAAAAATTGAACGTCGATGTAAAGTAATAGTAAAAACGACAATTATGGCAGCAATGCCACACAAGATTTCGAAAGTTTCCATTTTTTTGCAGTTATTGATTTAATATTATTCTGAACATAACTTTTCCTAAAAAGAAAAATATCACATTTTATAAAATAAATTCTTGCCTTGAGAGAATAAAAATTTGATATAATTTATATAAAATTAAATAGAAGTTTAAAATAAATGATAACTAGAATTGATCTCATCAATCATTGCCAGGAACGGACACACACATTAATACTACTTTAAATTTTACGCACATATAAAGAATAATTAAAAATACACGCGTTTGAAATAAATTTATAACTTACTTGAGGAAATCAAAAAAATTGTTTGAATATTATATAATATATAATTCAATTCTCAATCACGACTTAATGAAGAATTTAATTAATATTGATATCAGAAAAAGAGTAAAAAATAATAAATGTATTTTTTTATAAGTATCACAAACTGCACACTTTTGCGCAGTTGACCGTCGTTGCGCCTTTTATATCCAATGCCATTTGCTAATAATTTATTTGTTTTGCCATATTGTTATTTCCAAGTAGTACATGAAACTTTAAAACGTCTGCGATAACGTTGTCATAACTTAAATCGCAGCATTTTTGTCTAGTACAGCTACTGCCACAACGTCACTGTATCGTTTTGACAAAGTTGTAGCAGCAAAAGTGGGACATTTTTAGGCTTTGAAAACGATATCGCAGCTATTTGGCTGCACAACTATTTTGATATAAAAAAGTTGTTATAGCCACATTACAGCAAGCACATGAAGCTTTAAAATGTTTGCAATAACGTTGTTGTAGCTTAAACCATAGCATTTTTGTTTAGCACAGCTACCGCCACAACGTCATTGTAACGTTTTGACAAAATTGTAGCAGCAAAGATGAGACAATATTTTTAGGCTTTAAAAACTATATCGTAGCCATTTGGCTGCACAATTATTTTGCCGTAAAAAAGTTGTCATAGCCACATTACAGCAGTGGCAGTAAAATTACGTAAAAATATTGAAAAGAAAATTTTTGCTTTAACTGGCATTGAACCTATGACATCCCGGAACATTCGCCTCACTAAACTTAGATCAAATTTAAAGATTAATTAATCATTACAAATTATTACAATTTATAAAGTACATTATAAGTATACAAGCGCGGGCGCAAATTCATAAGAGACTGATTTTACAGATCCACATATAGATCTTTAAGTATTAATATTAGAGCCGCATAAATGAACGCATAGGTCCGCTTGACCATCGCTGATACATGCTAAATTTAATATAAAACTGATAGTCACGTTACTCTGCTTTTGCTGTGATATACAAATTACAGCCAGATTACAGCTATTTTGGCTATATTTTAGCTTCTATCTATGCGCATGCGTGATAACAATTTACGGTGTACATACGTGCATAATAAACTTCCCAAATTTTCTAAACTTTTGCAAGTCGGTCAATAGTCTTCTTTTCATTTTGAAAACTTGTTACCTATTCACTTTTTAATCCTAAAAGTAATAAAATGGCTAAGGTTTTGACTTTTCTTTATAGTTATCATAAAGCTTTTACAACTATTTATACAGCTAAAATAGCTGTGGTTGAATTTTGGCTTTTGTTATTGCTGTTACAGCAACTTTATATCAATTAATACAGCTGAAATAGCTGTGGCTGAATTTTGTCTTTTGTTATTGCTGTCACAGCGACTTCATACCAATTAATGCAGTTAAAATGGCTGTGGCTAATTTTGGTTTTTTTGATAGTTGTCACAGCGCTTTTGCAGTTAAAAGTTCAGCAGAATAATATTTGCTGTCAAATAACTGTAATTAAGGCTGGCAGAACGCTATACTAACTACATTTTTGCTGTCGCAGCGAATATAGCCAGACTGTGTTACTTGGGTAAAGAATCATATAATTTCATAGAAATTGTGTAATTTTACAAAAATTATATAGTATTGTCTTTTATTGTGTAAATATATCTTATTTTATATGGAAAATTACATAGGTGATGAAATATTTTTAAAATTTTATGTAACGATTTTAATTTTTGTAATATTACGCAGCATGAACAGTATTCCGCAAATTATAATAGCATTTTTACATTAATATAGTAAATTCACAATTAAATTGTGATCCAAATGTTTAATAATACAATTACGAAAAATATTATTACATTTCTATTTTTATAATTTTACATTTTATTATAAATTTACTTCTGCAATCTGTTTAACTATAAGAAATTAATTTTACAAACATATAAAAATTTATAACTGTTATTGTTATAATATTATCCACTCAATATTATCCACTATAAGCAGCAATAAAATACGTGTAAAACTTTTTGCAATCTATGTAGAAAATCTAAATTTCACAAAAGATTTTAAACACGTTACGTAAATCAGTACATATTTTGCTTCCTTTAGATAAAATAAATCACGGATGCAAGCACTTCTGTAACATGTCATGTTAGTTAGCGCAAAAATATTGTTAATATATTATGTAACATAGCACTCATGTCTTGACAACATAGCATAATGTCTAGATAACATAAAGTAAGTATTTAAATGGTATGTAAAGAGGTTTTGCGAAAATATTCTTTGCTTTTATTATTTTTGAGTGTGTCTGAACTCACCGAAGAAAAAATTAAAATAATCTTTGTTGCTATGTTGTCTAAGCATATTAAAGTTTTATTTGCAAGAGATCTTTTACTTTTAATTGTTTGCATAATTTAAAATATTCAATATTTTGATATATTATTACGAATTATTTCTTTACTTTTCTTCTTTTTAATAACAAATAATTCTTAGATTGTAAAACTGTTTAATATCAATTTGAATTTGTATTTAATTAATGAAATGTTACATAAGGTTTATCTATATCCAATTTCTCAATTTAAAAATTTAAAGATTGACTTTTCCGACATTTCTCGTCGGATCTAGCTTGCTATTTCGAACGACACATCTCTTTACCACATCGGCACGTATAGTTTTTAAATTGTTTATAAAATTATTATATATGTTATTGCGCAATTTTATTTCACTAATGCGATTAATCGCTAAATCGCTGCTACTTATAATATATTCTGCCTCTATCACTTGTATAACTTGTTTTTTAGTGAATTTTTAGCAATCTCAAGCGGAACTTATACATTTTTATAGCAGCTAATTTTCTTTACATTAATATTATTAATATTATTTACATTTATTATTCTTGACGTTCTTCTTCCTTCTTGACGTTTATATTTTAAAACGTAAAAAGATAAAAAGAACTAGACATTTGACCACTTTTTACACCGGCAAAAAGATAACATTTTGATTGATACATATAATAAAAAACTAATTAAATAAATAAGTATTAATGTGTTTATTTATTGCGTAAAATTAAACCAAAAATTTGGTTTCTTAAAAAGTCTTGCTGTTATTTACTCAAAAGTCGCAAGATGAAGAAAAATATGCTTCTCGCGAACAACTAATATTACACCTGTTAAAACTTTCGGATAGGTAACTGATAAGATACACGCGTAAAGAAAAACAAAATTTAGCTGATTAGCAGCGTCGAATATTTTGCACATCAATAATTGTTTTTTATTAATTTGACATTTCTTATTATACAAATAATTTTATTTTAAATAAATACTTAATTTTTGAACACTTTTATTTTCCATTTTGTTATATCGTACGTTAGCGCGAGCGAGCTATAAATGATACAGCGATTTCTAAACATTGTAATAATGTTTAAATTTTTAATTTGTATTCATGATTATACTTTAAACTATGATTGTACTTTGTACTATGGTTATATTTCGAAATATGATTTTACATGTGGCTAATCTTGCATACGATTATACATTCTGTGTATTAGTCCTGATTAAAGAAATATGGATGGATCGTAACACGCGTGATACAAGTCAGAAGGATTGACGCTGTGACTCGAACGGTTTGTTAATCTCTGATACGGATCTACGACCAGAAAGGTCTACCTACTTCGGTAACCGTTCGGTTCTCTTTTTATTGTGAAATAGTAATCTCACTTACCAGAGAAGGAACCGCATGTGATTTTTTTAAGGAGATAGAACGCGAGGTCTTATTAAAAAGGAAAATTGAATCATTTCGGTAAAAAGAAAATATTTATAATTTAATTATATAGATGCTCCTCCTCTTCGTAGTAATTATATAGAAGAGGAACAAATACACCAAATTACACCATCGGGAACTATGCCAAACAAGAAGGCTATATAGTACTTTAAATTATGTAGAGCATTTTTATATACTATTAATAAATTTAAAAAAGAACGAACTTCACGTTGGAAAAATACTTAATTCAAAATATAAAATAATTTTTACACGTACAAAAGAATTTCCTTCTGAAAAAATAAATTCTAAAAATTTAAAGATTAGTAACAGTAATATATAAGAGCAAAAGAATCAAAGCAAGATTTTCGTGTCATTTTAAATTTTGTTACATTAGTGTAAATATATAAAATGGCAAACATATTCATCTATATTAAATTATACTCATTATCTTTGGAAAGTCTGCCGCACACACATACACATAATTAAGTTTTTAAAACACAAAATCTATAAATGTTTGGATCGCATGTATTTAACTAGCAAAATGTCGCATAAGATTTATCTATATCAAATTGCCTAAGTTAAAAATTTAAAAATTATTTCTTCCATCATACTGATGATTTCTCACTAATCTAGTTTGCTATTTCGAACAACGCGTTTTTTTATCATATCGTCAGATGCAGTTTTTAGATCATAAGCTAAACCCAAATAGGCGAAGAAGTCGATAAAAGCTGTGGTAATATTGAGCGAATAATTTCCTAATTCTGCCGCTTTGTAGTCCCAAGGAAAAACATGATGATAATTGTGTCAGCCTTCGCCAAACGCTAGTAGAGAAACTATAGCATTTTCCGCAGGAGTGATTAATCTGCATGATAAAAGTAGACGTGTTTAAACACCACACACAAATGTTCAATTTGTAATTACTGATAAAATAAAATATAATTCTTTTAATTTAATTACATAATTAATAATAAATATTTCTTTATTTATTTAAGAATAATATAAAAATAATTAATATTAATAATTAATCAATAACAAATTTTACGTAACTTTTAAAAGTTTTTTTTTAATTATTAAGTTTTGTTACATTATTAAGTTCAATTTTAAACTTTTACAAAGGAAAACATATTTATATCAAAAAGAAATAATAGAGGTATGTAAAAAGTTTCCATCGTTCTTAAAGCAATTTTTTTAATAATATCTTATAAATAATGCAATATTTTAAATAATATAAAATTCTTTTTTCTATCACTTTTAGCCGCTTTTTAGATTAAAAATGGATACTGCGATAAAAAAAAGTCTTTTTTAGAGCGATCTTTCTATACATGAGCGATGGAAATTTTTGCATATTTGTATATTATGTATATAATAATAGAAATACGTACTTATTGTAAGGTTTGTAACCCCACATGTGAGCGGCAGAATTCACCAGCCAAGTAACATGTAGATTTATGCAATATTTGCAGATTGCGAGGTGTTACGCGCACCACAAAGACTCACCAAATGCCCAATAAGGTACTAATGATGGTATGATAAAGCAGCAAAGCGGCATCAACAAAGCGTACCATCTAAAAAAGAATTTATTGATAACGAATGATGTTCGTAACATTAAGTTAACATTAATATGAGGAGTTCATAGAAAAAGGGGATCCACTTTTTCTCTGAATTCTTCATATAGTAGTCGGCTAAATTTTACCTTACACGCACGGAGAAAATTTTATATCAAAAATTACTATGTACGACAGTAACCGCGAACCTAAAATTTTTACTATGTTTCACATGTGAAAAACATAGTAAAAGTTTTTATAATTCCTTTATGGTCCGCAGCTATTACCATATATAGTATATTTTTTATATAATGTTTTATATAAAACATTACCATGATACGGCAGTAAAGGCGGACCAGAAGAGAAATTATAAGCTTAAATACTATGGCCATTATGTGAAAAACATAGTAAAAGTTTCTGTAATTCCTTCGGTGGTCCACGGCTACTGCAGTACATAATGATTTTTCTTACAAAATTTTTTCCGTGTGGAAATAAACTGTGCTCGTTGTACCTTTTTTGGAACATTACGAAAGGATCTTGTTTAAGATCGGTTAAATCAATCTTAGCACTTATTACGTCCGGATGCTTCCGCACTAGAAGCCAGCCTACATGCGAGAAGAAGAATCCTCGATGCGCACTATATGGATCCGCATTGGTGTCGGTATATCTGTGGTGCACTCTGTGATCCCTGGCCCAATGAAAAATTGAATCCTGCAAAATACAATATTTACAATATTATAAATCAAAGCTCGGCGTTAGTTGCACATTTCGGCTCGATTCTTGAGACGACGCTTCCCGCTCTCCCACTACCGCGCGGCCGTTGGCGGCCGAGCTGCCGATAGCTTTGACTCAGGAGCGTCTGTGTAACAAATAGGCTGATGATAAGCGGGCACCTTTCAGAAAATAAAATTTTCTTTGTTATAGAAATAATATTTATTTTTACTAATTATAATTAAATACATTCCGATTTTTTGGTTATCGGCGACGAAAAAGAGCTATAACTCCGTAAATATTTGTTGTTTGCTATATGTTTATAGGACCAAAGTTGCTTGTCTCAACAAGACGCATCGACGTAGGTACTCGGTTTCAAACAAAAAATGGTGGCGACCCATAACACGTTAAATTTTTTCAAAAATTTACGAATTTTGAAAAACCGCCTGGAGGGATTGAAAGATCTCTCGATACCCTGCCAATAAACTCGGAAACTATAGAAAATAGAAAATCGGACCATAGGACCTTATTGGCAGGATATCGAGAGATCGTTCAATCCATTCAGGCGGTTTTTCGAAATTCAAAAATTTTTGAAAATAATGTGGGGTGTTGTGGGTTATGGGTCGTTACCATTGTTCGTTTGAAACCGACTACCTACGTCGATGCGTCTCGTTGAGACAAGCAACTTTGGTCCTATAAACATATAGCGGACAACGAATATTTACGGAGTTATAGCTCTTTTTCGTCGCCGATAACCAAAAAATCAGAATGTATTTAATTATAATTAGTGAAAATAAATATTATTTCTATAACGAAGAAAATTTTATTTTCTGAAAGGTGCCAGCTTATCATCAGCCTATTTGTTACACAGACGCTCCTGAGTCAAGGTTATCGGCGACTCGGCCGCCAGCGGCCGCGCGGTAATGGGAGAGCGGAAGGCGTCATCTCAAGAATCGAGCCGAAATGTGCAACTAACGCCGAGCTCTGTTATAAATTGTCAAAAACGGACTTAAGCTAAAGATAGGAGTCCAATGAACTTAAAAAACTCGTTAGACTTACTTGGTAAGCAACGCTCTGAAAAATCATGAGAATAAGCTTTATTGGCCATTTTGCTTTATAAGCTTTATGAGCCCATAATCGATGAGCACCAGCAGTAATGCCTATATTCGAGACCATACCAACGGTAAAAACTGCAAATTATAAATAAATACATATGTTAGTCGATACTGCTGATATTGCAACGTTTGAAATTGTAATAACTTTTGAGACACATGGCTCAGCTTAATAAATTTTTTGCATAAACCACTATATGTTACAAAAATTATGCTGTGTGTAAAAAAATATAATCAAAAGTATATCAAAAGATCGCAGTGGCCTACATAAGAAAAAAAATTAAATACGTATAAAAAGATACGTACACCAAACAATTGTCCAAAATCTGGCTTTGTAGCAGGCCAGATACAGGGCATATAAGCTGGCAAGATAGAAAATAG